AGGACAATGCGCAACCTCACACAGCAAGAATCACGTCACAAAAAGATCGAAGATCTTGGTTGGGAGAAAATTCTTCATCCACCTTATTCTCCCGATCTGACTCCTTCAGAGTACCATTTATTTCGTAGCTTACAGAATAATTTGGAAGAAACAGCTTCTGTAACACAGGAAGAGGTTAAAACTGACATTTGTGAGTTCTTCGAATCAAAGTCAAAAGAATTTTACAGTAATGGAATTAGTAAGCTTGTTAATAGATGGAAGGAAGTCATAGATAATCAGGGAAAATACATTGTTGATTGAATCTGTAATTAAATGTAACATTTGGTCACTTGTTTTCTTTATTCAAAATTCGGACAGAACTTACGGGATGACCTGATACAAAATCTCCTACAGAAGGTAGCGAAGGAGAGAGAGAAAAAACTACTAACTGCAAGAAAACAGAATGCATAGTCATCAGTAAAAGTATGAACCCGAAATGCGATTTACAGGTCGGGAATATTAAAATCAAACAGGTTCAAAAATTTAAATATCTGGGAAGAGGACATCATATCAATGGATTATTTAATGCCGACAAGATTTTTATTGCTGGTAATATTTTTTTCAAAAAAAGTACATTGCTGGTAATATTCTTTTCCTTAAAAAATGTATGTCTGGTACTTTTTTTTTCCTTCAAAAATGTATTGCTGGTAATAATCTGTTGCTGGTAATAATTTTTCCTCAAAAATTCATTGCTGGTATCAAAACCCATTTTCACACTTACGTAGTGTTTTTGTGGCTAACCACCTGCCACAGTTTGGACACAGTGCCACCACCCCGGGTCAAGGTGGACCCGGGAACACCAGCAACCAAGAGGTGGCTAGACGCTTCTCAAAACTTCCTGATCAGAGGCCTTGCTGTTGGACGTAGTTTATCGTTATACACAGAACGTGGAGGTAGTTTATCGTCTAACACAGGACTCGGATTTCTTTGGTAAAAAAGATAAGAGCACTGAAATACAACGTGATATCTGTCCTCCTGCTGGACGGTCTCCTCAAAGATGAAGAAGAGACATGAGGCAACGGAGATATTGTTCTAACGAAGGCTGCTAAGGATATCGTGGACCGAGCGTGAAAGCAACGATGAGGTTGTGGAGAGGATGCAAACAAGGAGGAAGTTTATACATAACATCAGTAAGGGTCAGCTGAAATTCCCGGGACACATAATGAGAAAGGAGGGCTTGGAGAATCTGATACTCACAGGTCAAATAGAGTAAGAATGAGACAAGGGAAAGCAATGATTGGCATACATAACGGGCTTAAGACAGTTGAGGACAGAAGCAGGTCTGTGAGAAGTAGCAAAGGGACAAAACTTATTGAGAGCTACAATAGATAGGGGGAAGTGAAGAGCCATGATCTCCTACGTCCTAAAGGGACACGGTACATAAAAAAAGAAAAGATGAGAAGAACGAAACACATTTTATAAGAATAGTTTTTTCCTCTTGTCTTTTTATTCATTTTGTCCCTTTACAGATACACTCCTGGAAATAATATATATATATATATATATATATATATATATATATATATATATATATATATAAATTCATGAATCATTCATAAAAAATGAATATAGAGGCTAATGATTTAAATTAGCCTCTATATTTGTTTTTGTCTTTTATAAATTATAATTGAATTGAAATTATATATATATATATATTATATATATATATATATATATATATATATATTAATATAATAAATATATATATATATATATATATATATATATATATATATATATATATATATATATATATATATTACTAATAAAGCAAGGCACGTCGGTAATGCGAACCGAGTTCTCTCACTCAGTGTGTTTATCTAAAAATAAATACACTTGAATTCACCTTCCTGTCTGCCGTGCGTCAACGGCTTAGCGGTACAATCTCAGACTGACGCCAATTCAACCGGATTTCGATCTTAACTAACGGCAACCGGACATCTAGCCATTCAGGATATATATATATATATATATGTGTATATGTACATACATACGTACAACGTGTGTTAGCACGTGCAATACCCTGTCTTCATCAGCCGCCAACCAGGGGTGATCTCACGGTTTCGGTGGCTATGGCGGGACCGCCAACCCTGGTCCCACCAGCAGAGTTTTCCACCAGGCAGGGTATGAAGATAAGCTAACTAATGTATAGATAGAAATTTAAGCAATTCACCTCAAGAAAGGTAGGAGTGCCACTAGTACAGAGAGAATGAGGAAAGGATAAAAAGAGGAACGGAAGTCAAGGCAACAAAAGAAATCGATTGGCATTACATTTAAATGAAGATTATAGTTATCAATGAAGTAAATAAGAGGGAGAGACTTCCACTGTCGGGAGGTGAGACAGAGGAAGTTATTGGAGTGAAAGAGGCGGTTACATTTAACTGTTTCGATAGTAATATGGTTGGACCAAGATGCCAACCTAGTAGCCCGCTTAAATAAAATTAGCTGCGCTATATTGTGCCTATTTCCTTTTTGCCAGCCGCAATGTTATGATGATTTCGTTGTATAGTAACGGTCCGGCGGAATGGATGCGTAATATGAGGCCCTAAAACGGCCGTCCAGTGTTTTTCTGCAGCCTGTTAAGTTTTCTAGGACTAGATATGATGAATTATTCAAATTCCTAAAATTTCTATTCAATGATATATATATATATATATATATATATATATATATATATATATATATATATATATATGCGTGTGTATATCTACAATATTTCATGTGAGTGACAGATTTACTGTCACATTCCGCATTACATGCTCTAGAAATTGCTCCTTTTTCTGATGTTAATTGTCCTTTTTCTCTCCAGTCTCATTTGGACTATTTTTCTTTTTGCGAAACATTTTCTTCATTTTATCTATCTATCTATCTATCTATCTATATATATATATATATATATATATATATATATATATATATATATATAAAGAAATGTAGTCTTAAGGTGTGCTATGTTTATGGGATAAAGTGCTCAATATCAGAGATACAGCGTGTGTAAATATAAAAGTGAACATAGAAGTCAACACTTAGAGGCGACAGTCTGTTTCATGCTATATGCAATCGTCAGGCCATATAATTTATATATAATTTATATATATATATATGTATAAATTATATCTATCTATCTATCTATATATATATATATATATAATTAAAACGTCGATATGTGTATATATATATATATATATATATAGATAGATAGATAGATAGATATATACACACACACATATCGACGTTTTACATAGTGCAGTGTGTACATATTATCAGCATTCTACATTACTATAAACTATTTAGTGTTACATTTAAATAAATTATTAAATCCTCCGAGTTCACCGATGATTTTAAAATGTGAACTTGGACAATAACCTCACATTCAAGAATATGTAACGAGCTCTGAAATCAAAGGCGGCTATTTTTACCCGGTGCAGGATAAGTAGAAACTTGCAACAATTCCGAATCTAGCCTGGAGCAAATTGATCTAATTATATGGAAAACACACTTACCAGTTTGTATATGTAACCTCAAAGAATTTTGTTTGGTGAAAAATAGGCTTTTAATGGGTACATTTTACAGAAGATTCGTTTATATGTAGGCATATTATATATATATATATATATATATATATATATATATATATATATATATATATATATATATATACTGGTGTATGTACAGCTGTGCATTTGTCGCGTTAAATTGCACGAAAAGATAGAAATTACCAAAATTACACAAAAATACTAAAGAGTAAATTTATTCAATAAAATCGCCATTGGCTTCAACCACGGCCGCCAGATGTCTTCGGAATCTCCTGCAACTCTTCTAGACGGTCTCCTTGTTTAAATCGGTGAATACTGCCATAATCCTTGCCTTCAGTTTATGTTTGGTGTTACAAAGAGATTTCTTAGTCTTTTACTCAATTGCGCCTCACGTATAATAATCAAGGGGTTTGCAGTATGGGAGTTAGGTAACCAGATGCAAGGAGTGATGTGGTCCCAGAAATTGTCTGACAGTCATGATGATGGGTTCGCCTTCTTGTATGGTGCAAAGTCCTGGTTCCAGACATAATATCTTCCAGCAGCCACTTTTTTGACCCAATGCAGCTGGATGAAGCCTAGAAAGGCGAAACGCATAATCAAATCTAGTTTAAATGGAACAGTTTTCAATTTGTCCATTATTTTAAAAAGTAGCTTTTCTATATCCTATTTTAAACACAATTTTTATATATATATATATATATATATATATATATATATATATATATATATATATATATATATATATATATATATAATGGTGACTCTCACGCCGTTTTCGACTGATGAATATCTTTCAGTTCACTTTTTAATCCTGTACCTGATACTGTCGCCATAACTCTCTCGCCAGTGGACTTGTTGCTCAGGTGGAAAAGCAAAGAAGTAACACAGAACTGAAATGCAGACTATCCAAACAAAAGATTTCTTTTGAGTGGTGAATGCTTGTGTAGAACCAGTCACACTTATTGGAAGTGCTGATAACAAGGAGTTGGTGAAAATATTTGCCACGAACACAATGGACAACACCACTCAGGCTTTATTATCACGGAGTTATACCTCTCCGGGACTAGCAGTGCACACAAGAATGCAGCACCTTTCGATGGCAATTTCACGCGATTTCAATTTTTTAAACAACAGCAGTAACAATAATAATAATGATAATAATAATAATAATAAAATTGTCTCTTATACTTTATTTATACTTTGTAGCAATATATTGCACATTGATGACGTGCTGTTTCCTCCTACATCGAATGTATGTTCTACGCATGTTGGTGGAAATAGATGGAGGTAGTATCATTGTTACTCGGTTGTTGCTCTTATTATTAAGGTGGACGGGCAACACTGGTCTTCTCCGATCACCTAAATCTCCACGCACCAAACTGTGTAAACCGCTTCAGCAGCAGGCGGGATAAATCAGGTGAAAACAAATAGAGAGAGGGGAGGATAGATAGATAGATAGATAGATAGATAGATTGATAGATAGATAGATAGATAGATAGATAGATAGATAGATCCAGACACACACACACGTATATGTATAATTTCAGAAATGTATCAACCACCTAGGTGTAGGAAATGAACATTAGTGGGTGAAAATATACCCACTGTTTCCTCGAAGAGAAAATAGTCTTTCTAAAGAAAAGTTGATATTCCTTAAAGCACAATTGTGTATTAACGTACACATCAAGGAATGTCCGACCGATGGATGCACCTGTTGTATATATATATATATATATATATATATATATATATATATATATATATAAATAAAGAAAGAACAGTAAGATATATAACCCGGTGTTCCTATAGATATTTTTATTTTTTAAAATAGTGCTCAAAGTAAATTTACAGAGCATTAATATTATTATTAATTGATTTAAAATATTTTTTTTTCACTACACAGTTCTAACCATGTTTGAAACATGGTTAGAACTGTGTAGCGAAAAAAAAGACGGACTGGGTTCTATAGCATTGGATGGCAACTGGTCTAGGAGGTTCGTTTGGGGACCTTGTTGAACGTAGTGCACCAGATCTTTGTATTTGGCCCTTCAAAAAGTGTGGTTGGTTCTGCACAAAACCTTCACCACTATAATCAATTCATATATGCTGATGTTTGGGTGTCTTCTCCTAGGGACTGAGCTGCTTGAACTTCATACGTCGAAGACAGTCTGCCTGCCTCATGTGAAGTCATTATCGGAGAAAATCTGCTGTCCATATAACATCAGGAAAACCTTCAAAGGCTGGACGACATTTTGCAGACACCTCTCCCGAGTAAGACCCCCCACACACACACCAGAATAGAACATTACTAAAGACTGTGTGTACGCTATCACGAGCAGCTGCGAAAAGAAATATAAAAGAGAGACAGGCCGCTCTCTTAAGGTAAGGCTTCAAGAACACCAAACAGCTGAAGGGGAAGTGGAAAAATCAGGCGTGGCTGACCACATATGGAGAGAAAAGGGAGATCACAGCTCTCTGTGGGATCAGGTTGAAATCATAGACAAAGAACATCATTGGAAAATTCGTAAACTTAAAGAGTCAGCACATATGTTAGGCTTTAAAAATCTTCTGAGCCGACCAAGCATAGAAATGAATACTATATTGGAACCAGTAATAAGGAGTGTCAGAGAAAAACAATAATAGCAAAGGAAATTGCAATATGAGCCCTGGTAAAAACATGTAATGATAACAGCAACAATTGCAATATGAGCACTGCTAAAAATTGCTGCTGTAGACATTAAGTTTATAACTCCAAGAAATTCATATACAAATGTCCTTAAGGACACATGACACTGGATAAAAGCGTTGGTTAGATCCAGTGACAGGACCCAAAGAGTTGTGAGTTCAATACCTGGTTAAGACAGTGGAGAACTTGGTTAGGGGAATTAACAGGAGATAACTGATAACTGACATTCACTAGACATGGCACGAGGAACTAGAACAGTCTAACCGAGCGAGCGAAATAAAGGGTTCAGTTAGACATTCCAACCACCTGAAGAAGGCCGGAGCGTACAATGGCCGAAACGTTGTGATAAATATGGCAACAAAGATGAGGACAATAATAAAAGATAAAATTGACAAAGATTATTGTTTAAGGTTGACGGACACGCATGTCTTAATTAGTTTTTTTTTGGTTGTTTTTTTTACGAATTGGTCAAACCCAAACTAAAACAAAAGCATTGTTTTCAATCGTTATGAGTCTACCGATTGAATAGAATTTTATTATAAACAATTGTTTTGTAAATGAAATTTTTAAAGCATTCTGAATGTAAAAATAAAGAAAAAAAGTGTGCAAGACAATAAGAATCACCACCTGCCAAAAAAGTGAAGTTTTGTTGAAATCGGTTGAAAAATGTAGGAAATCCGATCCCATATATAAACGAACACACACACAAACAACCTGGGTTTTATAATAAGTATAACTCGATCGGAGTTGTCCTCCTTTTATTCTGGCGACAGAATCGTGTTTTCAAATTGATTTCGTGCAAAAACAATTGTGTTTTTCCCATTTTTGGCGCTGTCAGAACCACCGCATGGTAATTTTACGCAGTCCTGTGAAGTTTTGTTGAAATCGGTTGAAAAATGTAGGAAATCTAATCCAATATATAAACGTACAGACACACACACACACACACACACACAAAATCTGCGTTTTATAATAAGTAAGATTCAGGACATTTCATTTTACACCTTTATTTAGGCTGCGACGTTTCTAAGACAATGAGTTTCATATGAATATTTAGTAAAAGATCTGGTTGGGAAATTTATTCCTTCAAAGAATATTTTCATGGTGACTGAAACTATTTGAGACGGATATAGAGAAAGACAGACATGTATTGACAGACAGACATATATAGATAGACATGAATAGACATACATGAACAGATATATAGACATGAATAGACAGACAGACATGAGCAGATATATAGACAAGAATAGATAGACGGACATGGATAAACAGACAGACAGACGTCAATAAAAAGACAGATTTGAATGCACAGATATGAATAGACAGAGAGACAGACAGACAGACAAATAGACAGACATGTTACATAAATGAATAGACACACAGGAAGACATAGATAGATAGATAGATAGATAGATAGATAGATAGATAGATAGATAGATAGATAGATTCAACCGCTAAAAACGATGGGATTATTTACGTCTGGATAGACATTTCTGCCTAAGTTAATCGTAACTATGCCCTTAATAACCAAACTCAATAATTTAATAGTAGTTAAGCAACGGATAGTATGTTAATCCTTAACATTGTATTAGATACAATAATGTCATCTCGCTTCTTCTTGGATATAAGCGATTATGGCTCTCCACAGAATCCTATTTTACCTTATTATCTATATGGGAATTTCCATAATGATACTGGCACTCTTTCTTGGATCATAATGCAGTGCCTTTATGCTTGACGAAAGCTGCAGAAAGAACTCATTGGATAAGACCAGTCCACTAAAAAAATATCCTTCGAAATCATCACAAGACACATAGAAGAGACTAAGAGAGACTAAAGAAAAGTCACAAGTCTCCATCACCCGAACACTCCTGACCTGCCATACAGCGGCTGCGGATGTCTCTTCAGATCCAACATAGGACTCATTTTACACAGTAAAATGGTCTCTAACTCTCCGTTCTGTATATTATTTTCAAATCTTCAGACAGCAGAGCGCAAAGGTAGTTGTTAGCCATTCAAGTCATCCTTGGATTTTAGGATTTATTTGTTAACATCTTGCTTTAGATGGAAAAAGTTATGGAATGAGAAACAAAAGTTTCTAATTATAATTTGAAAATAGGCGATGATTTTTTTCAAAAAGAAAAAAAAACAGACTTTTCGTCGCGATCTGGTTATATAGATTCAATTCCAGAAAAAAAAACAATTCAAAAGTTTTACTTAAAATGGCCACAACGCGTTAGAGAAACGGATACACAAAACCGTAATCGAGAAATATTTTCTTTAAGTAAAAAGGGGAAATATCACAGCTTAATAAGGAAAGAAAAATAATCGTTTGCTGACGTTGCGAAGATCTGCTATAACAATGAATATTCGATACGTAACTTTTATGACAGTAAACTGTTATGATTGTTATTATTTCTTATTCGATTAAAAGCTGGTTCTTAAGCAAGCTCCTGCTGAAGTCTAATTGAACCTCCGCCTAGAACTAAAGGGACTTCTGTTGCAGCTTAGAATTAGAAAGCATCAATGATAATTTTGAAGAAATACCTTTGAATTCCTCCCATGGAACTTCAAAACCTCACTTTAACTATGATTCAGGCTATGTTCAATTCCGACCTATTTGGCCGAAAATCTGATTTGGGCCGAAACTGCGATTTTGAGCTGAAATTCTAATTCAGGTTGAAAACTGGGTTCTTCAAATCACAAACTCCGTGGAACTTCAATTATGTTGAGTTCTTCAAATCACAAACTCTGTTGAAATTCAAAATTTCACGTCACAAAATCTCTGACGTTAACTTTGATTCCTTAGTGTTTTAATGAAATAAAATTGATTTCCTCAATTCAAAAAAGTATGTGTAATTATACCTAAGAAAAAAATGTCTATCCATCAATTTTATTACAATATATAGTTATAATTCTCTTATATTATTATTTATCTCTTATTGTAACTAGAATAAGTCGGCAGCTCGATGCAAGATCTCATCATGAACCTGCCTGCTTTGTTGCAGTGGATGGTGTCATGTGAAGTGTGTGAGCCAATGAGTGGCGACCCATGGACTACCTCAAATAATTGTAAGATAAGACTTTCATGTTGAAAGACCATTGTCGAAGGGATTGAAATCGATCCGGTCAATTGTGAAATGGAAGCTACGGAAAGAACTAATTGGAGAAGATCAGTCCACGAAAAAAAAATCCTTCGAAAACAGCAGAAGACACTTAGAAGAGACTAAGAGAGACTAAAGAAAAGCCAGAACTCTCTATTACCTGAACACTCCTGACCTGCTATACAGCGGCTGCGGATGTCTCTTCAGATCCAACATAGAACTCATTTTACACAGATGGAAATGTCGATGAGCACCGCAATACTTGGCAACAAGTTCCGCCAATGATGCCGATGATTTTACCTAATATAATCTATGGTAAGAACGAATATTCTCTTCATCACATAACTTTTATTACAGTATTGTTATAATTGTATTATTTATTGCAGTTAATCTTCTTTAAGAACGGATATCTTATCCGTCGTTTCAAAATTCAAATCCAGAGCCTTCTCACTCCTGTTGGTCGAACTCATTCCCTCTTTCTTAACACCCACCACTACTCTAGTCATGCTAGGCCATGTGGGACTGAGGTATCGTATCAGAACGTCTCTTCATTTTATCTTTGGTTACGCTCTAAATTCGTTTCCACTGACCCGGTGTGCACTCTGTCGCTTTAATACTCCACTTGCTGTCTCTGAGATGAAAGCCATGGCCCGCCAATCTATATTTGACCTTCCTGATGGTTTCAGTTATGTCCTTCACTCAAGTCTGCTGTCGAAACCAAGTGTTCCGTTTTTTGTCACGTAATGTAAGGACAAGCGTTACTCGCTCTATTTTATGTTGAGCCACTGAAATAGTTTCTGCAAGGTTGGTGTTGAGCGCTTATATCTCACTTCCATAAGTCATCATCACCAGGACATATTCATTAGCAGCTTGTGTCCAAAACAACCCTCAATCTGTTGTTAAATGGGGCAAGGAATGGCTTGTCAATTTTAACGCTTCCAAAACTAAAAATGCTCTCTGTTAATTATCTGAGAGAACCTTTTCTTCTTCCAGCAGCATAGATGCGTCTCCTCGGGCTGACGTTCTCGGTTGCAATGAATTGGAAAGACTATATTAAATCCATTGCTAGGTCAGCTGCTAAAAATGTTGGTTCACTGTGTCGTGCAAGACAATTTCTCCAGAATCTATCTGACATATTTATAAGTCTACCATTCGTCCATACTTACAATTGTGCTGCGATATATGGTCCGGTGCTTTTGCTATATATCTAGAGCTCTTTGATAAAATCCAAAGCAGATTCAGCTATATTATTGGTCCTGATCTGGCATCTAGGTTTCAGTTGTTTTCTCACTGAAAGGTAACCTCTATGTACCTTTTCATGGTAATTGTTCGGATGAGCTTCTCGCTACGCTAACAAGACTTTTTTTCAATTTAAACGCAGTACTAGATTGGCGACAAGGTCTCATCATTTTACAGTTGAGCTGCTTAGATGTAACTGTAACTTCTATGCTAAGAGTTTCTCTTTCTCACACTTCTCGCCTGTGGATCTTTCCTTCGGCTCCATGTTTTGCAGCCACCTTTAATCTTAAAAATTTAAATGCAATGTCAATAGGTATCTATTGTCCTCCTGATTACTTTCTCGCTCATTAGTAATGTTTCTGTTTCTAATTCTTCCACACCCAGGAACCCCCTTATGTCTTAGTAGCTTTACTGTCTTACTTGTGGAACCCGTTTCCGGCTACTTACTTTCCAGGCAAGTTTATTCTGCAAAAATTTAAATGTAATGTCAGTCGCTATTTACTGTCCTGATTACTCTTATTTTTTCCTCGTTCCTTAGTAATGTTTCTGTTTCTAATACTTCTACACCCAGTAATCCCTTCTGTCTTGACTGCCTTGCATGGGCTGAACTTGGTTAACAAAAAAACACTTTTGACCTTCAGAATTAGGGCAACATTTTGCAGTCTTCTTTCCGAGTTCACATAACTGTCTACATCTTCGATGATTTTTTAAATCTACTATAATCAATCGCTTAACTATTATTATATTTATATATAATTTATCATATGAATGTATGCGTCATATATTTACGGTTCATTGTTTTTCAGATATACCTACAAACCCTTGAAGCACAGCCCTGCCAATAAAGAAGGTATACTCTACGCTGCTTCTAGCATTTCGGAACAAGTGCAAACGTCGAGAAGGAATAGCGACCGACTGCGATCTTGTCTTCCTTCAACGTGTCGGAATGACGTAAATATTTAGAAAGTTTGCCACAGAATCAAGATCATTGCCACACCATTGTTAATCTGAGGCGACTGATTTACCTTGCAGTTCATAATCGGCATCTACCAATGAAGTCTTCGAATATATCTTTAACATAAATTAGTCTTATTTATTTTTTATACAAGTATTATTTTTAGTGAAGGCAGACATAGATATTACGAATGATAATTTGCTGCTGGAAAAATGATTTTTTTTTTCAAAATCATTTTCGGTGAGAAGCCATTCAGTTTAAAACTAATGTAGACTTAATTTCAAATCAATATATATTTATAGAAAATTTAATTCGGAAAATGCACCAGCTAACCTCTATATTAGTAGATGGAAATGTACCACGTGGACTTTTTACGTTAATCTTTCCATCTTTTCTTACAGATTGATATATTTGAGTTGTTCTTTGTTTATTATAAGCAGGTGAAGTGGGGACATGTGGGATTAGTGCAACACTTATCAGCACGGAAATTGGAATCGACAAGTTCAAGTTCCGGCATAATCTGTTCGGTTCACTTAGATCCCTGGATCTGCTATAAAATAGTCATTTTTGAGCGGCCAGGGCTCTGTATCCTTGGATAGCAGTTAGTCTTGGAGAATGACCTCTCTAGGTTCAAAAACTGTGGAAATGGCAACAGGGATCTACTTCACTATCTTTCTCAAGATACTATTATTACAAAGTCATGGTAATTCACAGATAGGTAATAAAGTAAAAAGCAGTGTAGAGGGCCATGATCGCATGCATTCTGAAGTGAGATGGCATTGAAAATAGTCTACAAACCTGTTTAAAAATCATTTATCGGAGTATATTATTTCATGAATAAAATAAATATTTCTAAATAAAAAAATAAAAATGCAAATGTGAAATATAAACTTATAAAATATAAAAGGCCATTACAAGATTGTTGTAGCATACCTACGGATGATAATCCATTTATATAAATACTGTACTAAATACTGCATGTTGGTCTTCAGTCGGAGATTCCTTTCCAGCTAAGTTGGTCGAACTCTCTACCTTCTGGCAGAGAGGAACCCAGACGAGGCTATGATGAAGGGCAGAGTCTCGTCTGGTGTGGTAGACAGCTACCTGACCCCGTTTTTACCGGGGTCTACGGGGAAATTTTGTCCGAACCTACTGGCTCGGATACTCCACGTTAAATTCGGCCTTGGGTCACATCTGACCGCGTGGGGCGGTTGGCAAATATTCTTCAGTAAGAGATTCGTCTCCAGCAGTGCTGGTCAAACTCTCTGCCTCCGGGTAGAGAGGATCTCCAGACGAGGCTATGTCGAAGAACCAGAGTCTCGTCTCGGAAAACAGCTACGAGACTCCGTTTTAAGCGGGGTCTACGCGAATTTTTGGCCGAGCCGTGGAGCGGTTGGTAGATATTCTGCAGTTAGAGATTTATTGTGAAATTCACTTGACTCACTTCTAGCAGTTGACTGCTTCCTCTACACACCGTTGGCAAATCTTATATGTGTTGTTCTTGTCCTAAGTATTATCATTCATTACCAACCTTCGTGCGATTATTCTGTTCAGTAACCTTTCCTAGGTTACAACAAAGATACAAATAATAATTGAAAAATGTGAAAAAGTTTGCAAAATATGAGAATAATATCAAAAACAGAGAGAAATTGCAAAATGGAAGAGATGAATAAAGTCGAAAATTGATTTATTGTTCAAAAACTACGTAAAGATCGAACGAGAATCACTGTTTGTTTTAATTGCTGAAGATATATTTTAAATTATATACACCGTATATATTTGGGGCCGTTCGAGGTGGTGCAATTGTTAGCAACCTTGTCACATTAAAACAATTACGAGTAGTGAGTTCACTGGGTTCCCTATACGTTCGGCCTTGTGCCACATTTCAGCTATGCTTATAAAAATCTCCATATATACCGTATATATTCGCGACATTTGAAGGCCTAATTTTCAAGATACTTTCATAGTAAAAATCATTAGCAACGCACTTTCATAGTAAAAATCATTCGCAACACACTTTCATAGTAAAAATCATTAGCAACGCACTTCTCGTAGTAAAAAATCATTCGCAACACACTTTCATAGTAAAAATCATTCGCAAGACCTTTTCGTAGCAAAAGTCATTCGCAACACACTATCATAGTAAAAATCATTCGCAACACACTTTCATGGTAAAAATCATTCGCAACATACTTTCATAGTAAAAATCATTAGCAACGCACTTTCATAGTAAAAATCATTCGCAACACACTTTCATAGTAAAAATCATTAGCAACGCACTTCTCGTAGTAAAAAATCATTCGCAACACACTTTCATAGTAAAAATCATTCGCAACACCTTTTCGTAGCAAAAGTCATTCGCAACACACTATCATAGTAAAAATCATTCGCAACACACTTTCATGGTAAAAATCATTTGCAACATACTTTCATAGTAAAAATCATTAGCACCGCACTTTCATAGTAAAAATCATTCGCAACACACTTTTCGTAGCAAAAGTCATTCGCAACGCACTTTCATAGCAAGATCATTTACAATGCATTTTTATATAAAAATTATTTCCAATGGCTTTTTTCATGTAATCCTTTACAATGTATTTTTATTAAAAAAAGTTTCACAGTACAACATGTAAAATTTATTTTCAGTTTGTTATCACGTTAAAAGTCATTCCCAATGCATTTCTAAATATATTTCTAACATGCACTGCATGAAAACGTGAAGACGTTTCTAGATTTTTTTTTCAGAAATTCTGTTCATGACGCCATGGGATATAGCTAACTAATTTAACATATTACATTTAATATTTAATCCAACTGACAATGTACTAAATTATATTAATAACATTTCACGCATTTCAACATATAGAATTCTATATTCATTGTCAGTTATAACCGAAGGAGACCTTTCCAAAATGTTAAATACGAAAGAGATAATTGGAGAGGAACTAATGAGAGAAAAGGCACACCTGGAGCCATCAAACTGTTTAAAAAATAGATTCATAACAAGTCTTTGATGGAGGTGCCGTGGTATTTGATAAAGGTCGATTCACTATCTAAGACAGACTTTATCTTAAACGAATGCTTGCTTGATCTTTAAGAAGCGCTCTCCTTGGGTGAGATATTTCCACAAATCGTGAGATTACCTGATTACTGAACACATCAAGTGATTTTTTTTTTTTTTTTCCACAACCAATTAAACTGTTGATAAAAGTTGACAAGCTCCGGGCATAGAGCTGTGAAGGAATTATTCTCCAATTTCAGTATGCTCCTTTTGCCATATGATTTAAGAATGCATTAGAACATAATCTAAACAATTAAAAAAGTTGTGACAAAATAAGAAGAATGCTGTACTCACTTTGGCAAAAATGTATTCATCGACTATAGATTTCGACTTAGTTTTTGATGGTTGAAAAAATACATTATTGTATGAACCTCACAAAAGATTTGTTGCCTGGCCAGTGATCAGAGTTCAAACCAAAGCAAAAGATAGTTATGGCAAGCTGGTCAATACAATTTTCGGGGGTCTATTTCTACTTGTTATATCTTGTGGATTACGAAGCATGGCTTCGTAATTCTCAATACAATTCATTTTCCGGTATACGTGTTGCTGTCCAAGGGTTCGTGAATATCAATCAAGTTATGTAAGTTGAATTTAGTACAATATTTCACCACTACTCTTTATAAGAAGCATCATTTATGGCGGCTATATCAAAGCAACACGGAGAAGCAAGTGCTCGCGGAAGCAGTTCTTTTCATGATCGAATCTAGAGAAATCGGCACGTGTATATATATATATATATATATATATATATATATATATATATATATATATATATATATATATTATGTTTATACATTCTTTTTATAGATACAAATATTTAAGCAAATTCTTTGTTTTATAATAAACAGTATTATTAACATTTACCGGCCTGAATGTCCGAAAAATTTTCATAGAAAATATTCGTCCTCCGAGAGGAATCGAACCTGTATCCTATACGGAACAGTCATTTAGCCTGACATGCCTTCACCGATCGGACCACGGAGAATCGTTCGATTGGCAAAATCGATTTTACTGTTTTTAAACTTTAATCTTCCATGAATCTCTCACGTACATTCATATCTGCTCAAAGCGTATCCAAATGTAAACAAATGGCGTCACACATTATGAAATTTGTCCATTTTATAATATATATATATATATATATATATATATATATATATATTTATATATAAAAAAAGAGAAAACCGAAAACGCTTTTGGTTATAATGTGAATCTGTTTTAGTGTATATATATTTTATTCTTCATATTTTTGCAACACGTGTTTGAAGTATCGTGACTTTGTTCAATCAAATTAAATTAATCAACTTTAAAAGAAATAACTTTTACTTATGTTCTTTTAATGTTTCATTGTTCATTTTCTATATTTGTAGTGAGCCTTGATCTCATTTTTGGCATGTTGGCAAAATAATAATAGTTTAATAATTTGTTTAATTTAATTTAATGGGTTCATGGTAAGCAATATATTTTAAGAAAATTTATTTTTGCTTTTTTTCTTTTTAACAGAAAATAAATTCTCTAGTTTTCTTACTCTTGAGCATGCAACATACAACAGAACATACGTAAATATTACCTTCTGGAGCCAAATTCTAACTTTTTATTTGTTTATCGTTCTCACAAAAGCAGGGCGAACTGGGATTCTTGTTTATAAAGATTTAAAGAAAAGATACGCAAAAAACAATACTTCATATTTACTAAATATTTTACTAAATACTTTATTTACTAAATACTTTATTTGTTATTTTAATAATTAAATTGTTTTTTTTTAATAGTGGGGTATTTTGTATGTTAAATAATAAAACTTTTAATTTGTACCAAAAATAATGAAAATTTATTGTACTAAAGTTATACACACTAGTAAAGCCAACTGTACTTTGTACCCACTTACCTATTTGAATTTCTCCCCAATCTTTGGTTTCGATCGGTCAATGTCAGTTTTAGACGGTTTGATTGTCGGACGGAAGTCACAGAATTTTATATATAGATTATAGCTGTGAAATAAAAAAGCGAACAGTTTTGGGTGGATATTTCAAACGTTTTTGACAATGTCTTTGAATAAGTAATATATATATATATATATATATATATATACAGTGTAACCCGGATATAAGAGACCCAGATATAAGAGAAACCTGGATATAAGAGAGATTTTCTCTGGTCCCAAATTAGAGCCTGTGTTAATGTATAGACCAAACCTGGATATAAGAAAAACCCGGATATAAGAGACTTCTCCGGTCCCGACAACTCTCTTATATCCGGGTTACACTATATATATATATATATATATATATATATATATATATATATATATATATATATATGTACATTTAGATTTGGCAGCAACTTCGTCTCTAGTGCTTCTCTCACTTTGTAATAAGAGGATAATGCCCGTATGTATTTTTAATTTTTATGTGAGTTATACAAGTTAGTATTTAATTTATACAGGTTTTTTTATTATTATTATTTATTTATTTATTTATTTATTTGCATGCAAGTTCTACCCCGGCTTCTTATCAAAAAGCGTAAAATGTCCTTAGGACGAGGTTGGATGTTGGATGTTTATAGTTGTTGTGCAAACAAAAAGTATTTTTATTTAAATTCTAAAATTTTAATACATTAAATGGTTTTCCGGCCCCTGTTTTCATTATTATCCTTCCCCCATTTATTACATATCGAGAAATCTCTCGACCTTCAATGTTAACCACACCCACTAGTATTAGACACCTAAGAGAAACGGGGAAAAGAAAGAAAACCCCGGGTTTAAATATCTCGGTTATCTCACTGGAGAATTATATTTAGCCTTCTAGAAAATATTTCGAAACGAAAGAGAAATATCGAAAGCAAGATGCGACCAGACAAGACATGAAGTCATTAAAATTTCCTACCAGGTTGGATGATTTTCAGCTCATCGAAGTATAAGAATAGCCGCTCTCATCAACGCCTTTTGGAGTTATCTTCAGCCTCAAAGAATGCGGTCGCTAATAATGCGACTTGCTGCGTCTTACTTTCTTTCCTGCTAGAAATGATGAATTTGGTAGGAAAGAATAAAGAGCGTGTCTGACCTTTGTTAAGAGGAAACGTCGATTTAGCCCTGAGCAGAGAGAAAAGGAGGAGATAAATGTTATTTCAATGAGATAGAGACGGCACACGTCATAATATGGACTGCTTATCAATCATTCACATCTATGAAGCTTACTAACTACTTATCAATCTCGTCTTGGGTACGAAATACAATTGCTGGCACAATTATTTCCGTTAATTGTACCTCTCTTCTGCCAACGTTCTTATTTCATAAGGCAGGTTTGATATTTATCAAATAATATTATTTGTGGTTCGTTTATTTTGTTCTAGAAATTAATAATTCCAGGCGAGACGTTTATTTGAACGGGCACACTTTTTCTTTTATTTTTAATTTTTTTAATTTTTTTTTTTTTTATATTTTTGCCCGAAGTAAGATATTAAAGCCACTAAGCCGCAAGGGGGTTAGTGAGTGCTAGAGAATATGAGAAACAAGCAATTAAGAAGACAGGAGATAACGATTAACGTTACATTTAAATTTTTGAAGATCAAAGGCAACAAAGCCACTAGGACGCAAGAGCTCACTGAGTGTTAGAGAATATGAGAAAAACTACTATTAAGAAGAGAAGACAATAAAAGAATAAGAATTAAGAAGACAGAAGATAACGATTAACGTTACATTTACATCTTTGAAGATCAAAGGCAATAAAGCCACTAGGACTCAAAGGGTTTACTGAGTATTGCAGAATATGAGAAAAACTACTATTAATTAGAGAGGACAATAAAAGATTAAGAACTAAGAAGACAGAAGATAACGATTGACATTGCATTTAAATTTATGATGATCAAAGGCAGTGAAGCTACTAGGATACAAGGGGTTCCTGAGTGTTAGAGAATATGAGAATATGAAAAATATTACTATTAAGGAGAAAGGACAATAAAAGAACAAAAATTAGAAAGGCAGAAGATAACGATTAAGATTGCATTTAAATTTTTAAAGATCAAAGGCATAAAAGCCACTAACACGCAATGGGTCATTGAGTTAGAGAATATGAGAAAACTACTATTAAGGAGTGAGGACAATAAAAGAACAAGAATTAAGAAGACAGAAGATAATGATTGACGTTACATTTAAATTTATGGAGATCAAACTTGACTGGGAAGCGTGAAACCGGAAGAGATTCCCACAAACGAGAGATGCGACAGAAGAAACTATTAGCATAGAACTTACGGTTACATTTAGTCATTTCAACTGTAAAATGATGAAGCATTGCTGCAAATCGGCTACTGCGCTTAAATTCATAAAGTCTATGTACCATAGAGGAAAGTTAATGAGAACATGAATGTCTTTATAGAAAACATTACGGTGGCAGGAAAGTGACTTAAGCCGAGATGCCCGGTCAGGACCAATAACATTGCAGATTCTTTGAATCTCTAAATCAGGAGCACCAGATCAGATGTGGCAACAATATTTGAAGCATGGATGAATGTTAAACTGATAAATATATGTAAGATAGGTTCTGGCGAGAAAATTTGTCTAGCTCGACGCAGTGAACCAACTTTCTCAGCAGCAGACGTAGCAATTGATTCAATATGATATTTCCACTTCATGTCTGCAGAAATGTTAGCTCGAGAAGGTGCAACGAGGCTCTCTTATGGAGCCATGCTTATGGAAGGTAAAAAAGGGGTCTCTCTGATGACTGACACAGAGCAGTTGCATTTTCGAGGCATTAAAATTAATAAGCCACGCCTTGACCCAGTTAACAACAGGTTATGGGTCATTTTTTTAAACTAGCTGCCAATTTAACTATAGCTGTATCATCGCATAGATACCGAATTGAGAACTGAAGACATCAGGAAGGCCATTGATAGAAATTAGGAACAACGTACCTCCGAGGATAAAACCCTGGGGACACACATGCATTAAGGCCTAAAAATCTAGAAGCGTGGTCGTTCAGGGCAACTTTCAGTTTAAGATTTGTAAGAAAAACTAAATCAGTTCAAAAATTCATCCATAAATAGAATACCTTTCAACTCCTGAATAATACCATTATGCTAAACCGTATTGCTTATCTAAAGAAGACGCTGAGATATGAAACACTTATTTTATAATTCTTACGAGAATTAAGCAATTATTAATTTTTGCTTAACAGAAACTTTTCGATTTGACAATTGTAAATCAAGGATTGGCCAGTCGATAGTTCCATAGGTAAAGAAAAATCAAGCAATTCTAGACTAAATATTATTTCTTTAAATTGGAAAGGAACGCTAATTTTTTTTTTTTTTTTTTTTTTTTTAATAATTTCGTTTTTTCTCAAAAATTTCATTTTTTTCAAATAATTTCAAATTTTCTTTCTTTCAAATAATTTTTCCTATGGTATGTTTCGCTCCATAAATCATAAAATAAGCGTAAGGTACGTTTATTTGAACCGATACGCTTATTTTATAAGTTGAAAAATTCCCACCACATGACTATTCCAGATTGTCCGATGAATTTACAACGTGTCTGGTAATCGTAACGACCAAGAAATTTGTTAAACAACTTGCAGATCATATTGAATATTATGGGTATTATGTAAGCAGGCATTATTCTGCTAGAGCAGTTTGGTTTGGTTGACTTTTTTTAGCGGTATATTAATGTCCATGGGTTATTTAATGCCAAAATCTAAATATTTTGAATTCAATTGCAAGGCTTCAACTACAAATAAAATGCGTTGCTAGTCATTTTGTTATAAATATGTACTGTTGATCATTTTGCTATAAACAGATATTGTTGGTTATTTCACTATAAAATATATTACTGATTTCTTTTTACAATAAAAATATATTGCTCATATTTTTACTATAAAAATGTATTTTTAAACTTTCATACTGTTTGTTTTCGTTTTTTGACTTCACTATCTGCCCATACCTGGGTACCTAAAAGGGTACTAACACCCTGGGTCAGAGTAGACCTGGAATTAAGAGGTGGTTCTACACCCCACAAAATTGCCAAACTTCCAATCAGAGCCTTTACTATCTGATGTAGTTCTGCATCTCATCATCCGATTCTTACAAGAGAGTATATATATATATATATATATATATATATATATATATATATATATATATATGTGTGTGTGTGTGTGTGTGTGTGTGTGTGTGTGTGTGTGTGTGTGTGTGTGTGTGTGTGTAATAAAAAAAAAAAGAACAGCCGGTGTTCTTATAGATATTTTATTTTACAAAATAGTGCTCAATGCAAATTTATTAGAGCATTAATATTATAAATTAATTAATTTAAGATATGTTTTTCCGCTACACAGTTCTAACCATGTTTCAAAAATGGAAGCTAAAAGCCAAGAATTTAATTTTGTGATTAAATTAAAGACATTAGATCCATTTCATCCTGAAGCGATTTTTTTTTCTTTTTTTTTTTTTTTTAAGTGGAGATATAAGTCAAGACTTAGAGGCGACAGTCTGTTTTTTTCTCGGCTATTTATATAGAAATAGCCGAGAAAAATAACAGCACTCGTGGCCTGACGATTGCGTCTAGCATGAAACAGACTGTCGCCTCTAAGTGTTGACTTCTATGTTCACTTTTATATTTACACACGCTCTATCTCTGATATTGAGCACTTTATCCCATAAGTATAGTACATCTTAAGACTATATTTCTTCATATATATATATATATATATATATATATATATATATATATATATATATATAAATTAATTGATTTAAAATATGGTTTTTCCGCTACACAGTTCTAACCATGTTTCAAAAATGGAAGGTCCAAATTTAATTTTGTAATTAAATTAAAGACATTAGTTCCATTTCATCCTCAAGCGAATTTTGAACTAACTTATAAAATTACTGGGTTTTAAAGTCAGCAAAAATCAAAATTTACGTTTCCAAGGAAACAGAGAAATTCATTTCAACCAGACAAGGGGTGTTTGCATGTTCATTATGGCTGTATTTTGATGTATCCGTTATTAGTTACGTTTTGGTAGGGTTAGGGATGTATTCTTTAATGAAATCTGACATCCGTTAAATGCATGTCGTCTGGATTTTTTTAAAATTTTTATTGTTAGTGGTGAAGATTCTTACGGCATTTTTTCTATTTGTATACTTAAAAATTTGGGGGTGGGTTTTAGGTTAGAATACATTTTATTTAACTACTATATATATATATATTACATAGAGAGAAATATATATATATATATATATATATATATATATATATATATATATATATATATATATATATATATATAGTGCGTGTTTTGTGTGAGTGTGAATTGCAATTATTGAGATTACAACAATTACCTCATGCAGATGATCATTTCGTCCATGGGAAATAATTTGTCCTCGATCCAAATACATTTACTGAAATTAATAAATGGCCATGTTTCTTCACAAGAAATTTGAAAGGCAATGGAAAGATGGAAAGAAGAAAAAGGAAAGAATAAAAGGCGAGGGAGTAAGAATCGGTTTATAATAGAGAAGGAAGTTATACAGATATAGAGGGGGAAGGGCCCTAACGTGCTTCTGGTGGAGTAGGTATAGATAAACACGGCGGTTGAAAATGGACACTGACCTAAATATAACCTATCAGCAACTAGGATCACACGTCATACCGATACCACATTTAATTCGAGTGCTTAGCTTGACATTTATACATTTTTTAACATTTGTCTGAAAGTTTTAAGATGAAGAAATGTTAGTATTATACATTGATTTATTCAGATTTAGGCAAAAGAAAAAAAAAGCAAAGCCTAAGATTTATAAATTCCAACACTTAATTGAACTTTTTCTTTTATTTCGTTTCACTAATATATGACTGATTAAAGTAAACATTTCGTTTTATAGCAGTTCGCTTCTAAGTTATAATCAATGAAAACTTTTTTAATTATTTGTCAGTGTAAAATATTTTATTGTGACTTTAAAACAGCCATTTTAAAAGTATATCTTAACAATTTGTATAAATATAGTAAAATAATGTAGACAGAAAAAACAAAGATAAGAATAAACTATTCACAGTAAAGTAGTGAATCGAAAAATATAAAATACTTATATACATAGTGGGCATTTGGTTAAAAGTAACTTAAATAATCTGTGGTGAATACAAAATTTTATAGCTTTAAAAACGGACATTTTAAAAGTATGTATTGACAGAATATATTCTTCGTTTATTCTATGTGCCATGTCGTCTCAGGACATAGGCGATCAAGGCTCTCCACCTCGTTTTAAACCTTGCAGCTTTCAACAAGTTCCTTCCCTCTGACACCTCTCCCATATCAAGTTCTGTCATCCACTTGCTTAAGCCCGCTAAGGTATGTCATGCGTTGTTTTCCCTTGTCTCTCTTTCCCTCTATTTGACTCCCGAGTATCAGATTCTCCAGACCCTACTTCCTCATTATGTGTCTCAGGAACTTCAGCTGCCTGTTTCTGATGTTAAGTATAAGTCTTGTCCTTGTTTGTAAACCATCTAAGATCTCATCGTTGCTTACATGCTCGGTCCGTGATATCCTTAGCAGCCTTCTATAGAACCACATCCCCGTCGCCTTGAGTATCTTTATCTTTGAGAAAATCGTCCAATATTCACTGTCGTAAAGAAGGGTAGATCCGTATTCTCTTCTCCGTTAAAAGAAACGGGAGAAGGAAGAGCAAGAATGAGAAAAAATATTCCTCACGGGAAATTGGTGAATCAAAAAATGCAACAAAAATTATAACAAAAAAAAACAAACAGCAGTTAACATTGATAGCTCTTCAGAGCTCAATCGAGGACAAAACATAATTGTGCTCAAAACGACTATAAATGGTTAAATCCTATCAGTCTTTGTTTAGACTATCTATATTCGGACTATTGTCTTCATCTTTGTTGTTGTTATCACACTGTTTCGTCCGTTTAACATGTCGATGGATAGTTTTTTTTCTGGTTCTTCTCGTCAAAGTCCATCTTACACATGTACAAATCTACCATTCGTCCATACATTGAATATTGTTGCCATATTTGGTCTGTTGCCCCTGCTCTTCATTTCGAGGTTCTCGACAAAATCCAAAGAATGACTTGCAATGGAATCGCCCCTGACTTGACATATCAGTCACTCTCTCATAGACATCTCGTGGCTACCCTCTGTCTCTTTTCTATAAATATTTTCATGACAAGTACTCTGATGAGCTATCATCCCTGATTCCCTGACTGCATGAATTTAAGCGTGCTTGTAGACTGGCATCTAGGTCCCACTCTTTTACTATTGACATAGTTAAATGCAACCACCATTTTTACTCCAGCAGTTTCTTTTCTCACACTTCCCAACAATGAACCTCTCTTCCGCTTACTTGCTTTCTTGATAACTACAATGTTAAAAATATTTAGTGCAACGTCTATCGCCATTTCTGTTGCCCTGATCCTCGTTCTTCTTTTATCCTTCCTCAATCCCACCATATACCCAGTCTTTTCTCCGCACTTTCACTCTCTGGAACCCCCTGCGTGCTAGTGGCTGTCCCGCCTTGCTTGGGGTAAAATGCTTAAAAAATACTGCTCGGTTATTACTCACCCGTTTCCACTGACTGCAAGAACACTGCTTGACAATGGCTCAGTGAATTTGGTAACGCAGTGGTTGTGATTTCAATCCCCGTGTCGGGCAGTGTGTATTTACATTCAGTGGAAACAGGCGAGAAATGACAGAGCAGTATTATAAATATCTCGAAACATGGCCAGTGGAATGAGAGCAGTCTAATCCTGTAGATTAAATAAAGAATTCCCTATAGGTTACCCAGATCAATATACACCTGAGGAAGGCCGGGGGATACAACGGCCGAAAGCTAGTGATAAAAACAAAAAAGATGATGACAATAGTCTGAATAATAATATTGTAATTAATAACTCCTCATCGCAGGAATTCAAACAGAAATTATCATGGTTTGATTGAATTGTTTCTTTTTACAATTGTTGTGGATTCCGAGATGAAATTCGGTCTCCAATGAATGACAGACGCATGAAATATAACAAATAAATGTATTTATACAATAATAATATATATATATATATAATATATATATATATATATATATATATATATACAATTGCTAATACGGTTAGTAAATCCAGAAACGTGAACGTGATTATATATATATATATATATATATATATATATATATATATATATATATAGATAACTAGACTCGTTTCGAAAAACCCTCGAATTTTTGATTTGCTAATCAAATCAATCTCGAGAGAAAAAAAAAGGTTTTAAAAAAGAAAGAGCTACAAACATGAACTTCTGCCGACAAAAAAATCGCACAGATGCAGGTCTGAAGCCCAAAGAAAAAACCCCGATACGAGTAACAACTAACTAACAAAAAGAGCTCAATACAACCGTAGAGCAGACCTAGATTGCCAAACTTTCCCTGACAATCCGTTTAGGTTTCTACCTAGATCGTAGGGAAAGTTTGCCTCACCCTGACGATCCGTCTATCTATCTATCTATCTATATATATATATATATATATATCTATATATATATATATATATATATATATATATAGTCTGGTAAATCCAGTCTCGAAGTAGGACTTCCTTAGAGTCTACGTGCTTGTAACTGTGACTTCTACAAGCGTTTACCTCACACTATTACTCTACCTCCAACTCAATCACAATCTCTACTCTGACTGACTCTGGGTATTTAACTGCAGCAGTCCAAGTACACACTGGTCGAGTCCACTTGTATGAAAAAGGGGTAGACTCCATACCAACAGCTTATCAACCTTTTGCAAAAAAAAAAAACAGAAAATATTTTTACAGTGTAAGAATTTGGGAAATAATATTTTGAAGGAGGTGAATATAATGAACCCGACTGGAATTAAATGTCGGTCCTACGATCTCCAATTCCGAGCCGTTGTCCATTACAGCACCTGCACCAGTTGCTATAAGCCTGGATGTCCGGGTAGTGTAAACAAAAAGCTAAACGTATGACCTGGGATCGATGCCATAGTATTGCAGTACTTCCTCCTCTAAAATCTGTCCCAGAGAGCGGTCCTGCGGGTGTTTTCAAAGAAAGAGACAGCATGTTTGGTGGTGAGACGCCAGGTGTCACCGTTCTCAGCTAGGGTTGACCATTGGCAATGGTTGATGTGACAGGCACCAAAGGATTTTTTCAGACAATCTTTGAATCTCTTCTGCCGCTATAGCCAGTGGAAAGCTCGCCGTACAATAAAATTATAGGTAGGCGATGATTCTCCATCCTGTAAACATGCCAAGCACAGCTGAGACTTCACCAGCATGGCCTCAATTCTGGTGATCTTCACCTTTTCAAGGACTTCAACAGTGGAGACGAAGTCACTCCAGTGTATGTTAAGGATCGTGCGGAGGCAGCGCTGCTGGAACCTTTCGCGGAGTCGCAGATGGTGTCGGTAAGTGACTCATGACTCTGACCCGTAGTAGAAAGTGGAGAGGACGATAGCTCTGTACACTCTGATCTTAGTTCCCCTCTTCAGGCATCTGCTGTACCACACACGGTTGTACAGTCTTCCAAATACAATACTCGCCCTTGCCAGTCTGTTGTCGACCTTTTATTCAATATAATCGATATGGGCTTCAATCACGACCTCCAGGCGACTTCGGAATCTCCTGCAACTTTTCTGGACGGCCTCTTTATTTAAGTTGGTGAATGCTGCCATAAACCTTGCTATCAGTTCATCTTTGGTGTTACAAGGAGTTGATCTCTTGCTTAATTGTACCCCACATATAATAATCAAGGAGTTTGCAGTTTGGGGAGTTAGGTGGAAAGAGGGAAGGTGTGATGTGGTCGTAGAAATTGTCTGGCAGCCGTAACTGAGCGTGGCATGGTGCAGAGTCCTGTTGCCAGATATAGGGTTTTTCCCGCAGCCGCCCTCTTGAACCAGAGCAGCATTACCTCCTCAAAGCATTTGATGCAGGCCTTCGTGTTAATTCTAATGTCCTTCGGGAAGATGAATAGAGACATAACGTCAACATCACTAGTGATCACTCCAAACACCAAGATGTTGACTAAATATATCATCGAAATCATTCCAAATCCAGACTGTCACCCAAACATTCTGAAATGTTTGTATTGGAGCCTCCGGCGCGGGTACCAAGCAGTTCAGCACGCCGTTTCCAAATTTCTGGCGGAGTGAATTGCATCATCGTCCTTTTTTTCTCAGAGACGTTGCCCAACTGACCCTACTATAGAGAGCAGTCGACAAAATCAAAAACAACGAACGCGCATGCGCGAAATTAAAAATATAAAAATGCGACAATTTACCCATCGCACCCTGTATATCAACTGAAGGAGGTTGAAGCGTTGTAAATATAACACTCAGGATGAAGACAATAGTCCGATCAAAGTAAATAATGCAAATTGTTCCAAGATTATTTAGGCAAAATCGAATTGGAATTTAAATTCGATACACCAGTCCAATTTTCGGCTATTATAGCCACAGTGTATTTTCCATCTACTGCGCTCAGATTTAAATCGACATCATCCCTTGACATGTCGCAATTATTATTTTTCTTCTGTTTTTATGTATGTATTTGTATATATGTATGACGCCTTGTGCCTTTGTGTGTGCGTT